CGCCCAGGCTCACAGCAGCAAACCGCCCTGCCAGCCGTTCAGCGCCGCAATCCCTGTGGGACTTGTGGAATGCTTCCTCCATCACCTCAGTTCTTGGTGATCTGAACTTATTTAACATCCCTGGGAGATTCAGTTAGTCAGGGTGGTACGATACATGATATACAGGATGTGACTGATGTTAAATTGACTACAAGATAATTAGATGCTAATGTCACCATTGTGTCAGGATGACATGAATGTCACCGTCTAACGCATCTGTGTGATTCCTGGGTGACTCCGGTGTCACCTGGAGGTTGCTGAAGGCTCCGTGACGGGGGTGACGATGACACGGCTGCGATGCGGCCCCGCGTGGGTTGTGCTGCTTGGGGCAGGCAGCGCTGCGGGGGCTGAACACTGCTTCACCTACAGGTGTCAAAAAGCCCCCAGACAAAGCAAAGCTGACAACAAAGATGAACCAAAACGACTTTCCTTGCTCTGGGCTTAGACCCCACCTGAATTCCTCCCTCACGTGCACTCACACACTCGGACACACTCTGCTCCGTGGTCTCAGGCTTAGATCTGGTCATCCTGAGCTAACGACTGCAGCCCGGGTGATACGCAGAAGCTCGGTGAAAAGGAGGCAGATTTTGGTGGCTTTTCTCTTCTTTCTTCTCTCTCTTTCCAGCCTGGAGAAGCGTGCTGCCCGACACCAGGCAGGACACGAGGCTGCAGCCCTCGGCAGGCGATCTGGGACGTCCCCATCCTACGCGGCGGGTCAGGCAGGGGACAGCGAACCAAGCTGTGATGGAGGAGAGGCTGTTCGCAAGGAATCCCACACCGTCAGCAAGAGCTTCACGTGGATAATTACATCTCCGACTCCTCAGCGCCAGAGAAGTGTTTGTGACAAAAGAAACAACTCGGCGTTCAAACACCGTAATAAAATCCTTCCGATGGCCTCTGCAGCATCAGGACCGAGCACCAGCTTCTGCTCGAGGAGATATAATGAGAGGGTAAATGAGAGTTCAGCACCCACCATGCATACATCCCTTCTGCTTTTATGAGATCTGATATGTAAAAACTGTTCTCTTCTGTACCGCAAAACAGAATTTATTTTAAACTCAGTTGGATCTTATCAGACATGCTGTACCTATCAGCTCTTTGACACAAAATCAAAGAAAACACTCAAAATAAAAGGAGAGATATAAAATGAAAAGGAAGAGGATATCTATAAAACTATTCCAAACTTTAAATGCACAGATACATGTTGGAGCCTCCATTTTTTTCAAAAAAGTTTGCAGCCAGATGTCCAATTCAGAACAAAGACAACTGGGAGTAGCCCCATTGCCCACAATAAAACCATCCCTGCCTGGCCTGGCCTGGAGTTAATCGAGACATCAATATCGGCCTTTGAGTTTGAATTGCCTTCTGAAAACTTCCACAGTTAGAGGGCATTTAGATGTGCAGACAACCTTGGTCCTCATACGCATATTTGCGTGTGGTTTCTAAGATCCAGGCACGTACAACTGAAGCTTAAGTGTCTTGTCCTGGGAACTCCACAGGAATCCTGATATTGAAAGTGAAGCTTACGAGGCACCAAATCACTGAATACCAACTAGCCAGAACATGGACTTTTTTTTTTTTTCAGCTGTGTCACGCAGGCAGCCAGGTCGTGGCCGGGCTTTAGGGAACCGGCCGGGGGGGCCAGAGCCGTGGTGGCCAGCGCATGGCACCGTCCGTCCCCCAGCAGGGTGGCCAGCCCAGGGGGGTCAGGCTGGCCCCGGGGGAGCAGGGACAAGCACGGAGCTGCCACCCGCCACTGCTATCAAGGTCCTGGGGGACAAAAAAGTCCGAATCACCCACATCTGGGTCTGGTGGGGCCACCCCAGCGGGCAGCACTGATGTCTGCAAGGGCTGGTGACGCGGGTGGTCGCCCCTTCTAGTCATTCTCAGCAGGAGTTCCGAGCGCGGGGCATGTGCAGAGGCTTGACACGAAAAGATGCAGAACGGTGCATTAAGGCATCAAAAAGGGTAACTTAAAAGTCATTGCCATGGCTACGTGACAACTTATTTTGCAGGATAATATATTTTATGAAATATGTATGATCCTATTTAATGTATACCATTTGTTTTTACCATTTCATTTCTGATAATAGCCTTTTAATGATAATCACCGTCTTTTAATGATTGTAGTAATTAGACTCTTATAAATCAGCGTGTTTTATGTTAAATATGCTGAAATCCTTTAAAAATATTTATTTTTCCCTGCACTTTAGAAGCCGCTTTGCTCTTTTGCAGTGTCTGGAATCTGTTTGGAGCCGCATCGAGAAGCCTTCCCGGAGCCTCATTTCCTCCCCTGACTGTGAAGGGCTCCTCACGCCTCTTTCTACTTCCCTTAAGGACGAGATAAAGAGAGCAGAATCAAGCAGCCACCGTTTGCATCTAAAACGCCATCGATCACATTCTTCATCTTTTTATTAACCAGAAACCATTACAGGACTAAATCTTGGCAATGAACTTGTAAACAAAGGGCTCGGAACAACAACAAAACACTTAAGAAATACAGTCCCCAGTCAGCTAGAGACACCGCCTGCACCCAGGTGTCGATACAACCAATAATAATTCTTTATAGACTTCACTTTTTTTCATTTTAGAGCTCATATTAGATAGCTAAGTAGCTTATAACTTTCCAATTCTTTGAAAAACCCACATCCTTTCAGTCTTTCTTGTTAAAAAATATTGACAGCTTTCAGTAAGGTAATATATCCAGAAGGGAAATCTCATAATTCATTTGATCTTGCAGTGCCCCATATTACACAGGAAGGTTTAATTATACATCTAACAGTTACTCACCCATTTTGACACAGTTTCATTAGACTTTTATTAAAGACGGGACTAGGAAAAGAGAGAATTATTTGTAATTCTTTTTTTCTTTTTTTTAAGGGGAAAAGTAGCTGCCGTGGAAGTGTTTCCATATGTCTTCCCAGTGGCACAGATACAGACTGGGCAGATTTCTTCTGCTGGTGATGCAAGAGCAAGATGAATTTTTTTTTTTTTTTCAAATAAATAGGAGATTCACCAAAAAGTATGAAATGGGCTTGACTGCAAGCATGCATGGATTTGGGTCACATTCAGGGTCTAATTCCATCAGAAGATGAACGTATCAACACTCGGCTGAGCTGAGGCCATCTCCCACCCACTCAGCTTCCCATTTTTGAAAGCAGACGTGTGATTATGTGAGCGATTTCCATCCTTTTTTCAAGGTTACTTTGACTTAGCCAAGAGCTTTCAAAGACCTTTGGGAAAGGCCCAGAGGACTAGAGCACACCAGCGTTTAAATCTCATCTTCCCAGGAGCGCAGTTCACAGACAGGAGGGCGCAGTGGCTCTCCCAAGCCCCGGGCGCTTCCGGAAGCGCTGTCAGAGCGTGTGAAGGCTGCTGAGCCACGACCCAGCCGGGGCCCCAGCACAGTCAGCCGGTCAGCGTCAGCCTGGGCTCGTGGGAAAAGCCCAGGACCCTCTGGTGTGGCTTCAGCTGTGACTGGGGCACAGTGGACACCAGCTAGAAGAGGAAAAGATGAGGCACGCGATGCCGTGAGCTGGCTGGGTGCCCACGGCACACCCCTCGCGTGAGTAACCGGGAGGAAGGGCGGTACCACGGCTCCTGCTGCCGACAGGGAGCAGCCGGCGTGTCAAAGCCGAGGCCCCGCAGCAGCACCCACAAAGCTGCACAGGACACCCCGCTACCCCCGTGCCCAGGCAGCAGAGGTGAGGGTGGCATCGCATCACAGCACTTCTGGGGGCAATCAGTGGGCAGCGCTTCAGCTTCCAGGGAGAAACCTCTCAATATTCTCTGTAGTTGGAAACAAAGGGACTCTGAAGGGAGAAAAGGTCCTAACGAGCACCCCAGGATAAACAGATGCGATCAAATGATAGCTTGGCCCAGGGCTTTCTCTTTGCTCAAGTTTTCCTTCCACAGCCTCATCAAAGCAGCGTTTTGACTGATGTAGCAGCATCAGCTTCTCCTCTCTGCTGCTGCCACCCACTTCCAGCTGCCTCCCCTGCTCACGCTCGTAACCGCTCATGGCATTACAAGCTGGCACGGGAGCTGACACGAGCCCTGTCCCGGCTGGCAGCGAGCTAACCCGGCTTTAAGGACACTTGAGTTTAAAACAGACAACACTAACCCACATCTGAAAGCCGACCACTTCCAATAGCATCACGCCAGGCCGGGTCCGAGATGAACACACCTGGCGCCCATGCGAGCTCTGCCGCAGCCCCGTGACAGCCTGACTGGGAGCAGCCAGCGTGATTTGCACTCCCGCTACGCCGAGTAGCACAGGCGCTGGGACAGGCTCAGCCGCCGCGCGGGCAGCGCTGCGGGACCAGCGCTTTCTCGGATGTCTGCTGGCAGTGTAAACCCGTGCTGCTGCAAGGGCGCTCGAGAAGAGGGACGCGACCTGCTGCTGGTAACGACAACGCCGGAGAGATCAGACTGTCTCCGGAGAGGACAAGGAGCACTGCAGCTCTTCGTGTGCATGACGAGGCTGCAGCACCCCGCTCGCTGCTGCGGCCGGTGCGGCGGCACTGCTGGGCTGGGTCCTGCCCCCGGCGCGGCCCTGCTCACCCACAGCACCGGGGTGGCCGAGGAGTGGAAGGACCATCTCTGCCTGCCCAGAGAGTGGCAGGTTTGGTAGATGCATGAATCCATTATCATGCATCCACAGATATTTTAACATTTTCAGTGAAGAAAAACTCAGTTTAAGCAATAATTATAGCAGATCCTCTCTCTATAGTAACAATGGGAAGAGAACATTATCACTACTGCTTGTGGCAACAACTTGAACAAAAATGGGTTAGAGGGGAAAAAAATAATTAGATTGAGACATGCATGCCTGACTCTGAAAGAAAGATTGTTTATGCTTAATACATTAGAGAAATTGCTCAAGAAGAGTTCAGCAAGAACCCGGCTTATCTGTCACGTACAGGACGCTGCATGCTGGCTCCACGGGCTGCACAAGCCCGATGGCTACGGACCGGCTCCGGCAGCCAGTGGAAATCCTGATGGCACGAGAGCAACGTCCCCTCCAGACAGGTGGGTAAAACACACCTCACAGCTTTATGTTTTCTTGGGAAAAAATAGAGAAGAGTAAGAGCATCATGTGGCACTGCCCCCGCCTCGGGAGGACCACCCCATGCTGCTCCCCATCGTGATGGAAGGCGCGTGGCTGGCCAGGAGCTGGACCCCGTGTCCTGCACATGGCACTGCCCACGGGCACAACAACCACTCCGCGCTGACGTTTCAGCACCGTAATGGACCATCCGTTTCGTTCCATTCATGCAGAGGCAAGTGGGCAGAACACACCGTAACGCAGGGAGACATCAGGATCCCACCAGGAGGGCCCCAAGGAGGGGGGAGGCAGCTACTGCGTGTGTGCGCACACGTATGCCTACATGACGGAGTACGGATTTGTTTAGGTGTGCACTGGAATGTTTCTTATACCCTCGAGGTTTCTCAGAGCACCTCCAGGCAGCAGGGAACCCTCCTGCCCCACGCCGCACCCGAGGGCGGGTGAAGATGAGAAGAGCCACCCGCACCGGCTGGCCTTGGGCAGGGCCTGCGGTACCCACAGCCCATCTGCCAGCACGGGAGGAACCAGCGGCTCAGTGGCACGCTCCACTTCCGCCCCCATCAAGTCTCTTGGTCTGAAGTTCCTGCTTCAGTAGTCTTGAATTTAATCAGGGGATTTTAAGGAAAAAAAAAAAAAAAAAAAAAAATACAAAAGAGTCAAAAGTCCCCACAATGAGAGCTGGGGTGAACACTTTGACTCTTCGTAAAGACAAGAAAGGAAATGTAGACATTCACTGGTCTAAGTGCTAGTGAAAACTCTTTGAGAAGAGTCATGAAAATGTTGAGATTTATCTGGGCTGTGTTGCTCACGGAATTCCAACGTCTGAGGGAGGAACGTGAGTTCACGGAAACTCAATGCAGAAATGCTGGTTCCATCACGCGTAACCACCCGCCCTGGTGCAGAGGCGATCATGGTGTCTGCCCAGTGTGCAGACAACAACCACGCAGAGGGAACAGCTGTGGATGACAAATGCCACCAGAACGCGGTTCCTCGGCCCCCGGGTTCTGCTGGAGCCTCAGGGAGCTGCTGGCTCTGCGCTACGGGTGCAGCCCCGACCCACAGGCCCCATGTGCGGAGGAGCCCGGACAGCCCGGGGGCTCCCCTCCCCACTGGGCAGCAGGGGATGACAACGCTGCCCCGGTTCCCACGAGGAGCACAGAGCACTCCTGCAGAAACAGAGCACTGCTTGGTGTCAGAATCTATTTTTTATGTTTATACACTCAGTGGTGCATAGCATAGGGTTGTTGGGGTGGTTTGTGTTTTTTTGCAACAGGAGAAAACAAAAAAAGGGACTCACCTAGATCTCTGGGTATCGGCCAAAAGATATAAAATAAAAACAAACGATAAAGACACAAGCTGCTTCTAACTCCCCAGGCCAGGTACTAGCCAGCCACAGTATATCAACCCTAACCATTGCACCCTGCCAACATAAACATTTGTCCCTGCCTTGTTTCTCCCTCCTCTCAACGTCGGAGCGATCTCACAGGCCCCGCAAGTGCCTCTGCGGGGGTTGGGAAGGGCGAGTGCCCCGGCGCAGCGGGCGCGGGCAGGTCTCCAACGTGCAGAACCCCGCGCCTCTGCTAAGGGTCAGGTCACACGTGGCTTCGGGGAAAAGCAGCACATGGCCAGAGGGGCCTCTGCCCACCAGACTCCCATCGCCCTGGCAAGACAGGATGGAGTGGGCTTGTGCTGGGACACACGGGAAGGGCAGGGATGAGCCTACACACGTGGGGCTGGGAACAACCTTGCTCCCAGCGCCACCCCATCACCCGTCAGTGCCAGGGACCCCTCGCCAGCACGGGCTTACCTCAAACCAAGTACACACCTCGGCATCCTCCCCGCAGCCCCCAAAGCCAGAGCCGCTGGCGGGGAGCAGCGTGAAGGGCGGGATTTGAAGGAGTCCCTCATAAAAGAAGCTGCCGACGCGCCTGTTCTACAGGCAGCGCTGGCCAGCCCCAAAAGCAGCAAAAAAAAAAGTCTTTTCTCTCTCTCTTTCTTTTGAAGAAAAAAATCCCCAAAAGACATTAATGTAACCAATAGCAGAATAATGTATTTATAATAAGCATAAGAGAAACAAAAGCCATGTATTAAAGAAAAAAAGTACAGTATTGCAAAGGGAAAAGGGAAGTGCTAGTAATAAACAGAAAATAAGAATATTGAAACTACTGCCAAGAGCAGCACAAAATAATCATTCATGTCGTCCTGCATTAGCATCACTTTTCAGGGACTATACCTAGAGACTGCAAAGCGCACAAGGTTTTGTTACAAACCCCCTCGTTCCCACACAAGTACAAGCAGAGTCCCCAGCGATGCCGAGAGCCAGCCTTGCCCCGGTGCCTCCGCGTGGGGGCCACCGTGGGCCCCTCAGCATCCCCCCGCGGCCAGCATCCCCCAGCAACCACCCACGAGCTGCCACCCTCGGGCGCCTCGAAACAGCACTGCAACACGGGCTATAAAAACCCCAGAACTCTCGAGGTGTGTTTGATCCCAGGGAACTTGAATCAAACCCTTATTTTTAGACTAAAGCGTGGGTCATCGCACTTCATCCTCCTGCGGGGAAAAAAACAGCCCCACACCCCCGTCTCTCAGACCTGCAAAGCACTCCACAGCCCCAAAGAGCGGCTTTCTTCCGCTTGCTGCGCACCTCACCGAATTGTCTCTGTCGAGCTCTGACAGCGTGTGTCTCAACAGCAATTTCTGAGGGGATTTATTAACGTTAGGACCGATAGTTATCAAATATTCAGTGATTACATCAAAAATAGATACTTGTAAACAACATTGTAAAGAATGTATTTTGGTCTTCCGTGTGTCCTTCACACTTTTTTAAGATTGGGGGTTTTGTTTTGTTTTTTCAAATAAAGACTGAATATATGCTGCCATCTACTGGAAAGAGTAACTTAAACAAAACTAAAATTCAAATGGTTTTCCCCAAAAACCTTGAGAGGGGATCAACTTTATTTCCCTACAAGTTGCTCTGCTTGATTCTGTTGCTTGACATTAAGCATATATATAATACTAGATTTAAAACAGTGAACGATTAGCTAAAACAGTAAACAAAAAAAAAAACAAAACAATACATTTCAATGGTTTGTTTGCCCCACAGTAGGAGCAAAACTCTGCAGAGGCTCTTACTGCACCTTCTGCAAGCTTTCACTTGTTGATATTGAGGACAAATAGGTAAATGACTTTTTTTTTCCCAGAATATATACCCGAGCTTTTAGTTTAGCTGTTAAAGCACTGGGGAAGAAACAGAATAATCTCTGTCAAATGAATTTGGGAAGAAAGAAATAGAGGATGAGGTACAAAGATGGAAAAGTACAAAGGGAAGTAAGACGTCCTTCACCTCAAGATTCACTGCTGAGTAACCACAGCTAGATGATCACAGAGGTTATTGGGGTAAAACTTGCTCTGACAGATCTAGGAATGCCAAGTATAGAGCCCAGTCTGGCAGTGGGGGGGCACCAATGGGAGACCAGTAAATGGCAGAGTGATGGCGGTGCCCAAGGGGAGAACCGCCGAGAGGGCTCACGCGGGGCGTGCAGCGGGAGAGCGCGGCCCAACCTGGCTCCGCACGCGGGGACCAGGACCAGCAGCACGGGAAGCGCAGGGCAGGAGTCCAGGAACAAATCCTCTTATGCTGAAGAAGAGCAACGGGTAAAGAAAGAATATGGACTGATGAAACAGGGTCTTGGCAAGCATTTGGCCTCACACTCCTTAAAGAGGGAATTATCTTTGCAGCACTGGGGAGCTAGAACAGACTAGGCATGATTTACCTTCAAAATGTCATTACCAGGTAACTCGGTTTACTGAGAAAATGAAAACAAACCGTTGTCTGAACAATTCAAGGAAAAATACGACCAAGAAAACTGCCACAAGCAAGCAGCTATTAACTAGCAAAGCGCAGGGATTCGTTTTCTCCAAATACAGAGGGTTCTGTAGAGGCCAGTCCTTCGCAAGCTTTATTCGCCACTCCCTTTGCCAGTAATGTGAACGCAAAATCTCACATAAATCCCCCTTGAGAGCGCTGTGCCCACCCGACCGGGCCCCCCCTCCCCACCAGGCCACGGCACGGGTGCCCTTGTGCTCTCCAAAAGCACAGACGGTGCCGGTGTCATGGCAGAGCGCTTCCCAGCCCAAGGAAGGGCAAGGGCAGCGCCCCAGGGCCAGCTGACAAGCACCGAACCCCACCAGGTGTCCTGCAACATGTCCGTGGGCACCCACGTCACTGCCAGACCTCCCCCCACGCCGCTGGGGACCCCCTGCCCCGTCCCCCCGGGAGGTCAGCACTAACGACGGGACCAGACACCAAGGTGACGGGATGCAGGAGGCACCGTGAGAGGGTTCAGTGGGTTACGCCATCGAACCGCAGGATTAAAAACCCTGACTCATGGTTGTGACTATTCTCCACTGAAAATTAACTTCGCCTGTCCTTCATGAAGTTGTCAGCAGCTTCATATTCACAGATAACGCTACTCGGTGGGATTTCATTTCATTTCCAAGCTCACAGGAGCAGCAGGTCAGCCTGTGAACTTGGAAATAAGGAGATAACGGAGATGCCCAGGCAGGTGCATCCCTGCCCCTGGTCCCGAGAGCTGGCACACGTGCTGCTGCTGCTGCCATCGCGGCTTCAGGTGCGGCTGAAGCCTCGGAGGGACCTCCCGGCCCCGCCGCAGAGCGAGGATGGGGACACCAGGCAGCACGGCCCATCCGGGGCGAATCCCGCGGGCTCCCGTCCGCAGGGGAGCAGCACGGCGAGGGAGGCAAGAGCCAGAACTGAGCCCTTCGTGCCCAGGAAACACGAGTGGAAGGTCCTCGTACAAACCCGAGGGGGACGCGGAGCCACGGGCCCCTCGGCCGAGCTGCTGCTTGCGTGAAGCTCGCGGGCTAAAGCTTCTCCCAAGGCCAGCCCCGCTCCTCATCTATTATTTAACAGCACAGCTTCGCTTCGGATTTGTTTTTATAG